CCCCGCACCCCCGCCCCCGCCAACACTCAACCCCGGCCCCGCCGGCTGTTGGTCCCGCCCCTGGCCCCGCACCAGCAGCTACCCCGGTCCCACGAGTGGTGGGTGTGGCTTCGGGGGGGGTCCGGGGTGGGGCATAAAACCCCATTTTTGGGGTTTAGCCCATATGGTGCGTGCTCTCGCTGCGCACCCCCCACTATTTATTTATTTATTTATTTATTTATTTATTTATTGATTTTTTGGGGGGGGGGTCTGGAGCCGGGGTTGGGAGTGCCCACCCGTGGACCCCCGGACCCCCGCCGGGGCCCCGGGGCCGGGGCTCGACAACCCTGCCTGCGGGGGATCGACAACTGCTTCGGTCGGAGCGAGAGGGTATGTGTGGAGGGCCCGGCGACAGGGAGACGGTGAAGTTCGCCGGGATCCGAACTTCTTCAGGCAAGGGGGGCCAACCAGGGATTGTGGTGCCGGCGGGAGGGGCTGCGTGCGGCGGGAGGGAAGGGCATTCGTCGGAATTCGACACGGGTTTGGGCGAAGTGGCTGGATTGCATGCAAGGGAAGAAGGCAAGGTGATGGACAAAGAGAAGGAAGGGGAGGAAGGAGACAAAGGGGAGGAATGAGAGGAAGGAGGGGATGAAGGGGAGGAAGAAGAGGATGAAGGGGAGGAAGGAGAGGAAGGGGAAAAAATGGAGTTGGCTGGGTTGCTCGGAGGGAAGGAGGGGGAAAAAGGGGAACTCGATACTGGAGACGACGAACGGACGTTTGGCGACGACGATGACAGATCTGGGGAGTCATCTGACGGATTCGGGCAGCTATACGGAGAACATCGTGAGGAAGACGACGACGACGATGACACGACACTGGATATGGAGACACAGGTGGTCACAAGCGTTTCGGCACCGGTTCAACGAAGCTCGTGTTGCAGTAAGCCTGACTAAACCGAGTGTACGCATTGACGTCGAAGAAGTTATCGACGGCATCCTGGACGACCACCACATGTCGGCGCAGCCGTCCTCGACGCCTGGTGTCGACGACCCTCTCCACATCAAACCTTCCGCGGGATCTGTCGTGGCTTTCTCGCCAACGAACTCTCCGATGCTGCTGCCGACCATCGCCAGCGAAGGAGAAGGCGAGATCGGGGAACGACAAGATGTCACGTCCCCGAAAAAAATTGCCGCCGACACTCAAGCTCTCAACGTGTTCGCCTTGCCCGCGCCAACTTCACCGATTAAGGAGCGGAGAGACAAACCAGCTGGTAAGCAGTGACAAACGCCACTCTGTCTGCGCGTCAGTGACCGCAGTGTCTGTCGATGCGGGGAGTTCCTGATGCCGGCATGCTACAACCACCACTCCTTCAAACTTCTAAGTACATGTGAACGACCATCCTGTGAGTCGGCCAGGTCACTGGTCGTGTGCAGGGCATACGAGACAAAACATGTGTGTTTTTGTTGAAGCGTTCCCTCACATAATGGAAGGATGGTGTTTCTTTTTCGAAATGAGTGGTGGTTTTAATCCGCCGGGATCCGCACTACCAAGGCCGCTGCGTGATGTGGTTACTCTTTTTGTGCCTCGATTGGGAAAAGTCCGCCGGGATCCTGACTTCGAAAATGTTTGGCCTTCGCGTTTGTGGCTTGTTGAGGTTTTCCCTTCTGAAGGGCGGGGGKGTCGAGGTCGAACGCACTGCTCCTTTTGTTTTCCAGCGGGGCTTGCGCGGAAGTATTCTCTATCTCTCTCATGGCTAAACGGGGTTCTGTAATTAGGTAGGTCCTGCGTCTTCTACATTTCATGGTTCTTAAATTGTCTTTTTCATCGAATTCATCTTGGATTACGTATATTCATTTTCCGTTTTCTCTTGCTTGGGTTGTACAGGGGTTAGGTCATCTCCCTGGGTTGGAAAAGTCCGCCGGGATCCGGACTTCAGAGATGTTTTGCTTCCGCTTTTGTGACTTGTTGTGGTTTTCCCTTCTGAAGGGCGGGGGTGTCGAGCTCGAGTGCACTGGTCATTTTGTTTTGTAGCGTGGTTCATGCGAAAGTTCTCTCTCTCGCACTCTTCTGGCAAAACGGGGGTCTGTAATTGCATAGGTCCTGCGTCTTTTAGATTTCGTGGTTCTTTAATTGTCCTTTCGTCGGGTTCTTCTTTGAAAACGTGTATTCATTCTCCATTTTGTCTTTCTTCTGTTGTACAGGGGTAGGGTCGTCTCGAACACGGAGACCCTCTAAATATCCGAAACACATATTGCAGACAGTCCCGGTGTTGACGACAAAACACAAGGACATGTTAAAGGCGTCAGGGGTTGATGTCGAAATCGGGAAGAATGAGCATGCCATTGCCATTGAGGAGTGTTTTTCCCTTGTGCCCCCAGAGAAAGGGACATATCCACGATCTGCGACTAGGGGTCAGGCCATGCATGAAAAATACTTAGCTACTCGTCATGCGATGAAGGAGAATCCTTAGAGTTTCGTTTCTCACTCCCCCCCCTGTCCTTTGCTCGATGTTGTGCAGTGCGGGCCACGACACCTGGAACAGCAGTGACTGCGATTGGAAGCTTGTGGGTTTTGGATGACATTGAATGAGGCTTCGTGCCACCTAACACTGTACTCTCGACCCTCGATGATGGTCAGTTGCGAATTGCAGCGAAGGATATTCTCACCCTCTCACTTACTGACGACAGGGTGAATGATGAGGTGGTCAACTTTTACATGGCGCTATTGGGAACGACCGCATATGGGATACGCGACATCCTGTCAGGCCTTTGAGTCTTCAGCTTTAGTTCTTTCTTCTTCAGTAAACTGCAACTTCAAGGACACGGCGGGGTGGAAAGATGGGCAAAAAACGTGGATCTGCTTCAATATGATATTAGCCTTGTACCAGTCCACAAAGATAATGATCACTGGATCCTCCTTTCCGTGAACTTGAGAGATAATGTTCTTAAGATTTTCGATTGTTTTCCTTGCGTTGTAGCCGATTCTAGTTTTTACCTTAGTGTTTTCGAGTTGATCGTACACTATTTGGAATGTCAAACATCACATAGGCGGTTGTGCAGGAGTTGGAAGTCGGTAGCAATAAATGTTGTTATAGAGGGAGTTCCAAGACAAGTGGATGGAGTTAGTTGCGGGGTGTTTATGTTGATGTTTGCGACACTGTTGCAACGTGGTGATCGACCGCCTTTAAGGTTCTCTTGTGAAAATATTTCGCATATTAGACGATAATTGGCATCATGTATCTTGGAATGCCATTGTCTTTTATAGACTCGATTGATTTGCAAACTTCTGTTTCAGAATATTTCATATTTTAACTGTCGCTTTCTCAACGACATTACTTTCTTTTGGTGTTTCGAGTTTGAGTTGTCTTTGGTATGTTGAGTGCCAGTCTGGCGTCCCGTATTGCCTTTGGAATCTCTGTCAGGTCTGGCTCGTCTGTCGTGCCATTACATTCATCGCATTGCAGTTCTCGTTGCAAATTGTGTCCAGGTCATCCAAAGTTGTGCATATAATTCACCTTGAAATGATATTTGTGTGTGTGGTGCGACATGACGAATTGGAGTGTGGATGCAACACAAATCTCGGCGAGTGTGTGGGTGTGAGGTTCGTTATGCAAAGAGTAAAAGACCAGTGACATCACGTCTCTTGTGTGCATAGACATGTACTTGTGACCGCCTGAATTACATGTAACCGACAATTTTGCGTTCGTGACCGGGAAAAATAAATTGTATGCCAAAAAAACTGTTTGTACTTCTAAAGAAGTCTGAATCTCTACAACATCCAAACAACCGCCTCGGGCGAGATGATTGCTATGCATGTACAACTCACGCATAACCGAAATAAATAGTATTATCTAACAAGGATTCAATCATGACACCTTGCTGATCACATTTACAAACTTGAAGTTTGACAAGTGTGGCTCCCGACACACTATCGCACAGGCATCTCGGATGGGCGTGTCTGTCGCTACTCTACGTCTTCTAATATAATTATCCAACGAGGATGCAATCATGACACATTGCTCATCACAATTATGGAATTGAAGTTGAACAAGTACGGATCCCAGCACACTTCCGCAAATGGTTTCCTGATGCGCATGCCTATCGTTATTCGTTTATGAAGTTTAACAAGTACGGATCCCAACACACTTCGACAGAAAATTCCCAACACATTTTTGAAGTTCAACAAGTAAGGATCCCAGCACACTTCCGCACAGGGTTCCTTGATGGGCGTGCCTATCGTTATTCGTTTATAAAGTTTAACAAGTACGAATCTCAGCACACTTCTGCACAGGATTCCCAACAGTGCCACATTTTTGAAGTTCAGCAAGTAAGGATCCTAACGCACTTCCGCACGAGGTTCCCGTGCGGCGTGCCCAACATGTACGGGTTTGAACGCGCTTCCTCATTTGAGATATCATTTATAAAGTTTCACAAGTACAGATATCAGCACACTTCTGCATGTGCTTAAGCCCTGGGTGGGCGTGCCTACGTTGCTTGGAATGCAGTCAAAAATGAATTCGTTAGAATGAGGACACAGTATAATGTCCTATTTTAACGAATAACATGTTCCATGCTATTTTCTGTGTGCGGATGCTGACAGGGAGCTGTGCTGAGCTGTCGGTCCTTTTTTTTTTCCTTTTTTTTGTCTTTGTTCCGTTCGATAAATTTGCGGTAGTCCTCGTGGTGATTAGTTAGCTTTGTTGGTTTTATCGATTCCGAACGGACGATATGGCGATTGCTTACCTGTCTTCTTCGATCTTCCTCTTCTTCATTTTGATCCTTCCTCTTCTTCTTCTTCTTCTTCCTCGTTTTCTTCTTCTTTTTCCTCGTCTTCAACTCCGTGTCTTTTATCATGAGAAACAAGACCTTCATATGTGCGAAATGAGACTGGATCGTCCGCTAGAACATGGACAGATACATTGCCTTGTTTTGTCTTTTTTATGCATGTAGAGAGTCGGGCAGGAAGGACCGATTTTGCCTGTTTTGCGGTTGCGATCGGTTACATCTGACACGGGTTCGTTACTACATCATAGTCGTTCAAAAGATTGAAACGATACGGTAAAAACCAAGATAGATTAGTTAATTACAGTATTGCGGTAGTATGTGTCCCACAGGCAAAGAGGATTGGACTGGATGCCTAAATCTAGATATGTCAGTCGAAAGATGCAGGAGCTCGAGATTGGGCTGCTTTTCTACATTTCTGCATAAAAAACGTCCAGATTCACGTTTTATTACGTTTCACAGCGCGGAGCAGCCCGCGTCGTGATTGTTGTTTGTTTGAGGAGGGAGGACAAGTGAGAAACGAAGCTCGAGCTTTTACAGTGTCGGGGCCTGATATGTCTTTTGTTGTTAATGAGGCAAATAAGAACCGGTCGTGCAGCGACGTTGTTTATGTTTTATCGTTAGTTGGCGAGGAGACGACCATCGCCTGCGCAGGCACGTGGTACATGTTTTGTCGTTGGCGGCGGGAAATGACGTGCTCATTGCCTGACCGATGCTTTGCTGCCTTGCCTCCTCTCTCGCCATAGTCACGGCGGCAAGATTTCTTCTCAGACGCAAGTTGAAAAGTGCCCCTTCTTTGCCCTCATCCTATTTCCAATTTGCCCCGCCCACCATGGCTTCTTGATCTTCATGGGCCGGCATGGGCATGGGTAGTTCGGTTTTTCTTCATGCTGTGTGCCTGAGTAGCACACCGAACATGTTCGGAGCTTTTCCGAACGTCCGAACATGTTCGGGTGTTCGGCTGAACGCCACCCAAACGTGTTCGGCCGAACATATAATTAAAAAAAAAAAAAAAAAAAAAAAAATTGTTTGTTTTTGACTTTTAACTCGAGTTTGGTTACGAATTTGACCATACCCCCAACGCAAAAGTTGTTTGTATTATTATTTTACATAACATATAGTTTTTTCAGATTTTTTGAAGAACTCTTTTTTTTTTTTTTTTAATAATATTTTTATGTTCGCGTTCAGAGAGTTTTGGCGCTTGTTCGCGTTCGGTCCCGAACGTTCGGGTTTGATCACCGAACCCAAACATGATGCTACACAGTTGTGTGCTAATTAGTAATTGGAGTTTGTCTCGAAAGGAACGACTCCAATCCATACATTACTTCCACTGCAAATCCCCCGACATGCTTTTTTTTTTTTTTTTTTTTTTTTGTGAGCAGATCGACGTGTTTTGCCTGGTCAAGCATCAGAACTTTTAAAGGAAAGGGCTTTCAACTAATCCAAACCCGCCTCTCTCTCTTTTCACCATTAAGACGAATAGTGAAATAGAAATAGCGGGAACCGCGACCATAGACTTCTTCTCGCACATGCTTATGAAGAAGATGACGAAGATGGAGACGAAGATGAATAATGAATGGTGGAAATAGAGGCCAGCTACCTTCCTCGAAGATTACATGTATGCCATGTATGCCATGTATGCCATGTCAATATCTCCCCTGCCGAATTCGTTGACGTATCGTAAGGTGTGACCCGTTCTGTTTTTTTGTTTTTTTTCTTAAGAAAAAGGGTGGCGGCCTTGAAATATCATCAATGGGTTGATCGGCCCGAGGAATTTCAGGAATATTTGGTTTTACTCATGGAGGTCCTTCAACGATATTAGAACTTGGGTATGCACTCATTAATTTCAATTCTCGCACTCACTGCTTCCAATTTTATAATTTGTCTTCTTCTTTTTTCCTATTTTTGTTATCAGCTACAATATCAGTGTTTTTTTTTTTTTTCCAAATCTCGTAAGCAATTTGGATGTAATGGTGAAGCAAATGTTGTTTGTTGCATTTTTTTGCATGACATTTGTCTTTTGCAATTTTTTTTTATTTGTTCGAACTTCAACAGAAAAATTTCCCTGAATTAAATAATCATTCTACACTAAAATTACATTCTAAATTTTAAATTTTCATTCCATCTTTAAAAATGTCATTCCAATTTTAAAATTTTCGGTCTTATTTGAAAATTTTCCGTCCTCGAATGGGGTATCCCTTCTTATTTGAACTGAATGCCAGAGATGGAATGAAAGTCTGGATGAGTTCATGAAATATTTTAATTGGACTGTCGTTCTAAGTAAGGATTTTCAGTTATAAATAAGGTCAGTCAATCTAAATTAGAAGATATTTGTTGTAGTAGAATGAAAGTTTAATTAAAACATTTCATAAACTCATCCAGACTTTCATTCCATCTTGAACAAATAGATGTAGTTGGAAGGGAAAACTCATATTTAGACGGGAACTTATCAAATAAAAATGGAAATTTTAGAATTGGACGAACATTGGAATGATAATTTATATATATGAAGGATTTTTTTTTTATGGAATGTTTTTTCAACTTTTATTTCTCGTGGGAATTTTTCTGTTGTTCTTTTTCGGGGGGTCGGGGGGGGGGGAGCGCATACCACCCGAACGGGTGAACGTTTAATCCTTTTTATTTGCTGTCGGTTTATTTATTGTGTACTCTGTGGATTAGTGACGTCTGGTTTAACAGATGTGGGAGATCTGTTATAAAGACCATGGAAAAACCTTGGAAATTAAAAAAATTCTGATAACCGCTCCTCGCATTGCCAGATGTATAGATGGATAGACACACAGATACGTTGGTGAGCAGGTATGTGAGAAAGCCCTGGAAATTTAAAAGACTCTGATAACCGTTTCTCACATTGCTAGTTGTATAGATGGATAGACACACAGATACGTTGGCGAGAAGGTATGCAGGCGGGTGGCGGATAGTTAGTCTCATGTTCTGGTGTCGGTGAATATTCTGACGCCTGCCGTCTTGCCAACCATGCATGGTCGTGGCCCCTCCCAGTATGCACGGCCGTGTCTCCTTGCCCTCTGCATGGCCATACCCCCTCCCCCTTGGCACGGCCGTACCCCCTCCCTCTCTGAATGGCAGCGCGCCCTCCTCCCCCTCTGCACGACCTTAGCACCTCCGCCCACTCTGCACGCCCTTATCTCCTCCCTCTCTTCATGGCCTTACCTCCTCCCTTTCGGCACGAGGTGCCCGATCAAACAAGGTGATGCGGGCGGCCCGGTCGGTGGCCTGCCTATGTACATGTGTAGAAAATTGTTTTTTTCATTTTTTTTATCTTATTTCATATTTGATTATATAAATAACAATATTAAAAAAAAAAACGACAGAAAGGTAGTTGAGATATACATCGTGTCATGTTGCGTTCATGCACGGCGAGCATGCATGCCACATGAAGCGCAATGTCAAATGGATCACACGGTCATCTTGGCATGTGGACATATTGCAACGTCAGGAACGCTGAGCCTCCGAAATTTTCGCCGGTGACGGGTTGCATTTGGAGCGAATCTGGGGCTGTGTATCAGCGGTTTAAACTGCTGCAACCCTTTGCTAACGGGCTTTCAATCTTTGTATCATATATTTTATGTTGAAGTGTGTTCAACCACAGCAAAACCACAACGTTTATTATGTCATAGTGCTGACATGTTAAGGCATGCTATGTTGGCTTGTGGAATGGACTCTACCAGATTGTCTTTGTTTCGATATCGCTAGTATTTATTCTGCCATCGTTCTGATTCGGCTTATCAAACAAGGTAAGCATAGACATCATTGCGCAACCATTTCAGCTAATATCTATTACCATATATATGTAATACTGATAAATAAAAGATTACAATATAGTCATGAATTGAGAAATAATATTTTGTCATATGAAATTTGTTTTTTGAAAATTTTAAATTTTGCGAAGAATTTGCATGTACGACAAAAAATGTCACTGTCGTCGTCAACGTGAACATCCTTGGTCCGAGAGTCACATGGAGGATGAGAACTACCAGCATTGTTATGAATCTAAATTGATTAGCCTAAATGTTCTGCTGAAAATGATGTGTAAACGGTAAATGTATTTTGTATGAAAAGCAAGGATTCTTATTAGAGTTTGTCACAACCCCTCATTTGTTGTCCTCTTCTCCCTCTTTCCCTATGTCTCGTAGAGAGAAGTCAAGGGAGGGCCAATCAGATTTCCCTGGGGACATCTGATCACAATTGTTGCTACATGCAGTGTTTGGAGCCCCAAGCTTTAGTACATGCTTAATGACACACAGAGTCACCCTGCCATAACTGGTGTGGCCTCAGTACGGTCAGTATGATGCCCTTCACAGCTTGATTCGGTAAAGTTCACGGGGTGGCTGCAAGCAATCGTCACAGGTTCAGTCCCGGCTCATAGATCGGGTTAAGTGGCATCATTGGGAGCACCCAATTAATTGCTACAGATGAGGGTTCAACCAAGACTTTTAATGTGAAACGGTTATCGCCGCCCACCGCTATTGAAAATGTTCAGATGCATTATCCCTCGTATACTGTACACTCACTTGTTGGTGGAAAATCGCTTCTTATGCTCCTCCTTTCCTTCCAACTCTGCCCCTTCGTACGTTCTATAAAGCTGTTCGCCGAACAATGCTGCAAAGTCTGACCACCCTGAGTGGATTTTTTTGCCATCACCAGGTGCGCCCACCTCTTCCTGCCACTGTTCTTCTCCTTTCATCACCAAGACCCTAGCGCTGCCTTCCTTCTTGACGCGGATATGGTTGTCGTCAAGCACTGCAGCCACCTGTGGCTTTTTCTTCCCTTGCCCGGGGCATGACTGTGTCAGCTCACAGCAGTGTTAGTGTTGGCAGCGGGTGCCGTCAAACGTGTAGAATGCTGAGGCTTCTTCTCTTTTTTTTTTACTTCCAGGAGACAGCTGCTGCGTGGCTGGGATTCGGTTCTTCGTAGTCTGAAAACCTTCTGAATTGTACCTGTCCTCAGCCTCTGTGACTAACTGGGAGGCTCGGCGTACTGGCTAGTCGAAGAAGCTGCATCCAGATTTATTTCCGACTCATTTCATAGTCGTTTATCTTGCAGTTCACTGACATGCTATGATTTTGTGTGCAGTACACACTGATTCGTATGACCTTGAACATACAACCTGTCCCCTGGAGTTGTCTGTTCGGAGCTGTTGTACATATGTAAAGTGCCTTGAGGTCACGCAGGTTATACTAGGACGACCTACACCTTTCTATTGTGCCCCTTCGCAAGTCCCCCCCTGCCCCCACAAAAAAAAAGGCAGAGCATTTGTGGTGCTGTGTTCTGTACACTTTGTCTACGTTTGTTATACATCCTTTTTTTTTTTTTAGGGGGGGGGGGGTTAAAAAGAACAACCTGAGAGGGTGTTAGGGGTGCTGGTAAGAGCAGTCACCACTGACACTCCCAGGGAGGCTCCATCTATTGGTGGGGAGAAGCGCCTGCTGGAAAGCGGGTCCAGCGTCCCTGAACATTCTGAAACAGTTTGTATGATTGAACAGATCTATTGTAGTGTTTTTTGTAACCAGTTGGGTCTGTTAACCGAGAGTGATGATAGCTTGTTCGCAGTGTGGGTAACTGAAATGCTTGTCTACTTGGCTAACCCAAAGAGGGTGACCGAGCTTGCTAAATTTGTGGCTTAGATAAAAGGGTACTGGCAAGGTTATTTGCAAAAGTCGTTCGTTCTGTTCTCCTCTGTCGGAAAGTCCTTTGCTGTCGCTGGTTCCCGGTTCCGGTTTCTGCACTTGGTGTCCTGAGTAGGTGGGTTGGCTGGCTGTCCCCGCTTTCTTCTTGCCCCACACATTAAGCTCGCAGCTGGTCCGGCAAACCGTTCTTGTCTTTTGCTGAGTGTCTTGGCCCGTCCCGGGCTCGCGATGTGGAATTGTTGCTTTTGCTCTCCGTAAGGCGCCGTTCCTGGCTGTCTGCCTTTATCTTTGTCGCTTCTCCCTGGGCATAGGAGGTGGAGGGATGGGGGGATTGCAGGTAGTGGCGGGCCGGCAGAATGGTTTGGGGATAGGGGGAGGTGGGAAGAGGGGTAGTTCACGGAGAAGGGGCGAGGATGAAGTTCTGATCTGGGTGCGGTAGTTAAAACGTTTAATCTCGATTTGGGATTATGCTGTCTGCTGTCAGTCGAACAGATTATTTCGACAGTTTAGTGGGTGTAGGGAGGGTGTACAAGTGAGCTATGCCACATTGCAATCCTGTTACATACTAATGAGGTTGGGACAGGAAACCGTTAACCTGGGGTGAGGCCCCGCTACCAAAGAGCTTGAATGTGGACATATTCTTGGCCCACTAAGCACAAGGTGTTCTGGAGTTAACAATTGCTCGTCGTTTTTTTGTGTCTTGCTTCTTCGTTATGCGGGGTCGTTTCTTGTTAAACTCTGCAGTTATTGTTGTTTGTCTATATCTCATGGCTTATGTACGTATTCTGCACAGGACGACTGAGGCATTGGAGGACTATATTTCAAGGCCCCCTCGAAATGTGCACCAAAACGTCATAGAACGTGGTTATGTAGTTGATCCTCTCGTTCGTCATGTGCACAAATCCTGCGTTCTCGACCTTTATCTTGTCGATGAGGATCTACCTTTCATGGTGACACTGTTTGATTTTCATCGTTTGTTCGTCAATCGCTGTTGTTTGACTGATCGTATTACACCGTTTGTCCGAAGAGGTGTTGTTTATGGCTTCCCTCGGCATCATGCCATGCCTGAACCAGGCGATCATACAACTTTCTTTTTGACCAGAAATCATAGGTTATTGGGCAATCCCCAACAGTCCTGTTTTGATGTGGATTTTCAGAATATGCTGATAAGTCGTATTCAGACACGCAGATTAAACACGGCCTCAGATATTCAGCGATGTGGGTCACAATCTTAGGTATGTAAGATTGGTTCGACAGTTTCTACAAATCGTCATTTTGCCCCGTATCGTCCATGTTTAGTTTTTTAGTTTCATCATTTGTCCGTCAATATAACATTTATGGTTTGTAGTTGCCATGTTTTTCCATAACTCCATCAGATATGCTCTTTGCTCTGTGCTATGGCTCTAGTACAAAAGACTGTTGAACGGCTTCATCAGACACACGTAGATTGGAGGGCCTTTGAAATTAGCAATCTAAATTGTTGGGACAGATTGCAAACAACCACATAAATACAGACAATATAACAACCATATACCACAATGGAATCAGGCTCACTGTTTTCAGCAAGTACGGCTTTGTATAAATAGATGAAGCTTATAACATAGTCAATGGCCAGGGAGACCAGTCTTATCAGATCGGTGAGTAAGCTCATGGTCCGAGAATGACTTAGGACATCAGAGATCGTTGTTGGATCATGTATGTGTAGATCCGTTGGCAGACATGATGAACAACACAAGACAGGGATGTTCTCATCCGCGTTTGCTTGACCAGTTGCACGCTTCAGCAAAGCGTCAGGCTCGTGGCATAATGCATACAAGCACAAGAGAGCTGCAAGAATACATTGATGACAATGACAAGGATCTGAAAGCCAATGTTGGACAAAAAGGTATTGTTGTGGATTTTGTGTTGCGGCAGCGTGAAGAGCAGAGAATGATGGACATCTTTCTTGCAAACATAGACGAGGCTGGGGCCGTTGAAGCGGTGAACGCGGTGCTCACCACTGGGTATGGCGAGACACGCAATGATATATTACCTCTACTAAGGAAAGGCACAGTCTATGACTGTAGTGAACTATATGTGCCTCCTTTCCGTGGTGAGATGCTAACGTTTATTCGCACCACAACACATAAGCGTTTTGGAAGTCCGACCATCATATGCTTCAACAACAGTGTTCACAGTCTACAGCCTCAACGACAATTATTGCTATCATAAGAAGAGGAGCGATCGATGTCTGTCAACAAGGCTAATGGGCGAACGGGAACCAATGATGCAACCAAAACCTTGGGGATCTCTGACACGGGCACATCTCAGAGTACAAGTGCTGGTGTGCCGCCTCTGCCATCAACAACATTGAAGGCTGGCGATATTATGAAAACAGTAGCTATTGAACAGTGTATGAAAATAGAAGCGATGAAGTCCAACCAGGCTTTACAGCCACTGATAAAAACATTTGCAACTATGGTCCAGAAGAAAACCTTTGCTGAGGAATATGCAACTACTTACAGCGCTGCAATGAAACGGACATTGGATGGTGAACACGCCAGTGCTGAGCCAACAGCTACGCAACAAAACAATGACATTTGTGGAGTGTTGCCGAAGAAGGCAAAATGCAATTAATGCACATTATGTAGATGTCATGCTACAATGATATATGATCGTACGGCTCGAATTCGCTTCCCTTGTCATGTTTCGTTTTCTAGATGGTCTTCGTTGTTAACAGAAGACTAATACTTGGATTGGTAGAAGTGGAAGACGACTAATGAAGTTCTTGATGAGGGGATGCGTAGAAACAGTGTACATATAAGAAAGATAGTATATAACATGTGTACCCTATTTTCAAAAGTGGTTGCTCACAATGATTCATGCTCCATTGTCATGATACATTGCAGTGAAGAGAATCTTGTGCACCAGCGCTTTGCACAGATTGAAAGAGAGATAGAGGAACCGCATGATGCAGACTGGAGAAAAAATAGGAGTATGGGAAGTAGGGTGAAAATAAGGGGGTGTGTTGACCAGGGGATTTTGTTGCTAAAGTGCACAGATAGAGAGAAAACTATGTGGACAGGTGGTCTTTGACATATAGGATTTCAGAATCACCATAAAACAAAAGATAGACATGCATGTGTGCAGCGCATTCGTGGTGGATCCTGGTAGAATATGTATGTAGCTCTGCAAAGATTAGCTGGTGAATACAGATGATCAAGTGAGAAACTTTGTAGGTCAAATGCACCTTTAACCAGTCTGATGATAGCTGATTCCGAACTGTATTCATGGCTAAATTCCTATCAGGTTAGTCTGTTCTGGACACAGGTGTACAGATCGAGCCTTCTTCTATGAACGAAAGTGTCTGCTTCTTGTTGATGGTTAATATTTCTTCATTTTTTTCCTTTTTAATGCAAGACATTCGATGTAAAAGACTATTCACATATTTCCACTATCGGAAACAGTGGTCGGTTTTCTGGCCAGATGTTTTTGGCGCATTGTGAACCCTCTCCCCGACTTCTGTACTTCTATGAATCAAAATGTCTATTTCTTGTCGATGGGAAATTGTATGGTCTGTTTACGTAATCACCATGGCTATGCCAAACCCTGACCTGGACAACTGAAGTCCTGGGACTAGAAGCGCATCCGATCCGATCCGGACATCTAGATTTCCACACACATCCGGGTCTCCAGATGTGTATGGTTCTTGACGATCCAAACTGGTAAGCAGACTCAGAAATGTCCGACCCCCAAAAAAATAAAAAATAGACGGCTGCTCTGTGGCCCAAGCCCTAACGCCGCCCTCCTTCTTGGCGCGGATTCGCCTTTTTTTTTTTTTTTTAAGGGACGGGATTCAACTTCGTTTGTGTGTGCTTCCCATGTGGAAGCGAGTTCCGGGGCGGGGCGCCCGAATCTGGACGTGTTGTGAAGCATAAATACAGAAAAGCAGTGCAATGTCGATTTTGTGCACCTTTTCACACACGCGTCCACATCCAGGCGTCCAGTCCAATCATCTTTGCTAGTGGGACCTCGCCCCAGAAAAAAGCATAATGAATCGGGGCGTTGTTTTTTTAGTTTTTCAACATCCGTTTTTCGTTTTTATTTAAATTTTAAAGTGTCTCCTATGTGTGACTGTCTTTACTCTCTAGAGACAGCCCACTTCTTTCTCATTCACTCTGTCATGTCTCCTCTTGGGCGACAATGTTGCAAAGTCTGGCTGCCCTTGCTATGTTTTTTGGCCATCGCCTGGTACGTCCACCTGTTCCTGCCACTGTTCTTCTCCTCTCATCACCCCATCCCAGCGCTGTCTTCCTTCTTGGCGTAGATATGACTATCGTCGCACACAGCAGCTACTTGTGGCTTCTTCTCCCCTTATCCGGAGCGTGGCTACGTGGGCTTACAACATAGGCGGTGCTGGCAGCCAATGCCTTCGAATGTGTAGAATGTTGTAGCCTCTTCTCCTTTTTTTTACATCCAAGAGGACACTGTTGTATGGCTGATACTGCGCTCTTCGCAGTCAGAGAACCTCCTGAATTGTACGTCGTCTCAGCCTCTGCGGCCAACACATTCAGGCGTCCAGTCCAATCCTCTTTGCTAGTGGGAGCTCGCCCCAGAAGAAAGCAGAATAAATCGGGCCGTTGTTTTTTATTTTTTCAAAATTCGTTTTACTTTTTTATTTAGATTTTAAAGTGTCTCCTATGTGTGACTATCTTTACTCCCTGGAGACAACCCACTTCTTTCTCATTCACTCTCTCCTGTCTCGTCTTGCCCGACAATGCTGCAAAGGCTGGCCGCCCTTGCTGTGTTTTTTTGTCATCAACCGGTACATCCACTTGTTCCTGCCACTGTTCTTGGCTACGCTCCTTGCAGTCAAAGAACCTCCTGGATTATACCTCATCCCAGTCTCTGCGACTAACACATTCAGGCATCCAATCCAATCCTCTTTGCTAGTGGGACCTCGCCCCAGAAGAAAGCAGAATGAATCGGGGTGTAGTTTTTTCATTTTTTCGAAATTCATTTTCCTTTTTTATTTAAATTTTAAAGTGTCTCTTATGTGTGACTGTCTGTACTCCCTAGAGACAGCGCACTTCTTTCTCATTCACTCTCTCCTGTCTCCTCTTGCCCGACAATGCTGCAAACGCTGACCGCCCTTGCTGTGTTTTTTGGCCATCACCTGTTACGTCCACCTGTTACTGCCATTGTTCTTCTTCTCCCATCACTCCACCCTGGCGCTACCGCCCTTCTTGGCGCAGATATGGTTGTCGTCGCATACAGCAGCTACCTGTGGCTTCTTCTCCCCTTGCCCGGGTCGTAACTGCGTGGGCTTACAACAGAGGCAGTGCTGGCAGCCCATGCCTTCAAATGTGTAGAATACTGGAGCCTCTTCCTCTTTTTTTTTACTTCTGAGAGGACACTGCTACATGGCTGAGACTGCGTTCTTCGCAAACAGAGAACCTCTTGGATTATACCTCATCGCAACCTCTGCGACTAACTGGGAGGCAGGCCCGCCGGGTAGTTGGAGAGACTGCATCCAGCTTTACTTCCAACTGCCCCGTGCCGGCTTCCCCACATGTCTGACAACATTTAAGGGTCGGTCCACATTTCCACAGGCGACCCATTTTCATCAACACGGAGACCTGGAACATAGCACGTCAAGCATACATTTTTTTCCCTTGGATGCGTTTGATCCTACATTTGACAGACTTTGTTATGCTTCCAGTGAATGAATTGATGAGTAGAGACACCAGGAAAGGTTTTGAAAGCACTGGACAGACAGATGAACAAAGATATCAAATGCAACCTCCGATCATCAATACAACTGTCATGTAGTGTCCCCTATGTATGACTGTCTTTATTCCCTATACACAGCCTAGTTCTCTTCACTCACTCTCTCCTGTCTCCTCTTTCTCATTCACTCTCTCCTTTCTCGTCTTGCCCGACAATGTTGCAAAGGCTGGACGCCCTTGCTGTGTTTTTTTGTCATCACCCGATACATCCACTTGTTTCTGCCACTGTTCTTGGCTGTCATCGCACACAGCAGCTACCTGTGGCTTCTTTTCCCCTTGCCCGGGGCGTGGCTACGCGGGCTTAGAACAAAGGCGATGCCGGCAGCCAATGCCTTCAAATGTGTAGAATGTTGTAGCTGCACTTAGTTAAGGGTCGGACCACATTTCCACAGGTGATCCATTCTGGTCTACATCGGGGCCTGAAACATGCCACATCAGGCATGCATCTTTTTTTATTGAATGCATTCAGACCCACGTTTGGTACGCTTTGGTACGCTTTCAGTGAATGGGTTGATGAGTAGAGACATCATGGAAGGTTTTGAAAACACTTAACGAACAGATGAACAAAGATATCACATGCAACCTGCTAAGAAGTAGAAGTATAATAAATTGTCTGGCCTGTCAGTGTGTCCAGTGCTCATACGGGAAAAAAAAAGTACAGGTGTTTGCTTGGTGTTACAGCCAGAAGGGAAAACCATAATGACAGACTGTTACACGCTGCTTGAGGGGGGGAAATCTGCCTTCTGGCTACATCTGTAAATTCAAAGTAGTCAGAATTGGCTATACCTTTCAATAAGATGCATGAAAAACAGGTTGTATATGAGAGTTCACGTCGAATTAAAGAAACGTCAATGGCAAATCTCTCTCTCTCTCTCTCTCTCTCTCTCTCTCTCTCTCTCTCTCTCTCTCTCTCTCTCTCTCTCTCTCTCTCTCTCTCTCTCCGATGAGCTCATTTCATGGTTGTATACCTTACAACTCATTTGTCTTTCTATTCCTCCCCCCCCCCAAAAAAAAAAACCTGGATACATGCAGAGCTGTGGGACATCATCTGAGACTGCTTCATGGATTGCAGCGTACACTTCAACAACCAGAACATTTACGGGATGATACAACTGCTGACATGAAATATTACATTCAGCATCGGTCTTATCGTGAGACGACAATTATTGCAAACAAGGGTTTGTTGGTATATTATCATAGATGGCGACGAGGAGTTCAGACCATGGTTACAATGTACTTGGCGGATGCAGGCGATGAAGACATGGTGGACATCATGCATGGCGCATTGGTGACAGCATACCAAGATGTCTACAAACATCTGCTTCCACTGCTACGCCAAGCCGTTGTGTATGATTAAACGAAGAGTATGAAATTTCAGCGATCGCATTCGACCGCACTTCCTGCCATGACTATACCTATGTACTTCGGACGTCAACCTTTGATGCCAACTTCCAATATACGAGTCCGGTGCCTCGCCGTATCGATGCACTGCCTATAGAACCTAGAACGTCTTCGGGCTCACAAAATTCGAAGCAGTCCTACTGGTGGTGTGAGCATAGGCTTAGGCATACTCACACTAGGACCTTTTTTCCTTATTTTTATGGATGTGATTCCGGTCGGATGCATCCAGGCCCGGCCGAAATTGCGGTCAGATGCATTCTGAACAAGTGTGAGTCTGAGTGAATACGCTTAGACCGTCTTCCATCCATTCCATGATCCATGATTGTTGTGAAGTGGCCCAATCCACCTGGGCCGAGGTCCC